GAGCAGCAGCTTGTGCAGCTTTTGCTTGCAGCTATTGCTTTGAGTTTTAAAATGTGCTGGCAGGACAAACGTCCTTTGTTCATTTCCGTCCAGAAGACAGTTTTCAATCGTACTTCTTTGGCATTGTTCAAGTAAGCAGCCAAAGGACTTGAACTTGAGATACGGCTGTTGAACCCTAAAATTTGATGTGGGTACCGTTGATCCAAGCCACGATGGATCGAGCAGCCACCTCGTGTTATACGTGGCGGGGCGAATGTAGTGTAGGATTCCCTCTGGTGCATGAGGTCTCTTGGGCTGATCTCCCACAGCCAAGAGCCCGAGGCCTCCATTTTCTTAAAACTAAAAACTAAGAAGCAGCTTTTGGAGGAGACCTCTTGGCAGCATCTTGGGCCTCGTTGTCGCGCGCCAGAGACGCGATATCTTTGTGACATGGAACACGGGCGTCAAGAGCCCGGGTGCGAGCTATGGAGCTGAACTCGCTCCTTGCGGGAATGCCCAACAAGGTCTCATGCCCGAATTCCCGAATGGAATGGATGTCGGTGATCTCCTTCGTTGCTTGTTCTTTCCATTTCTATATCTTTCTCCTGGTGAGCGAAAGGTTGATGGTTCAAGACTAACACGAAATGTGTGTTAGTCTTGTAACTTATTTCTCAACATCAGCCTACAAATAGTGCTCAAGAGTCCGTATATACCACATCCCAAGCCAGAGGGAAAGCCTTAAAAAAGTGGACATGTAATACTGTTTAAATTCTGTATTGTTTCCATGACATTTTGTGCGTCCCCTCCCACACAGAATGAGCTTTAAGACCATGATGATAAAAGTTATAGTCACAATCCTAATCCCACTTTTGAATGAAGACTTACAAACACTAATAACGGGCTTTAGACACTGATGAGCATTACCTTTTCTAGCTATAGAGAAGAAAGCTATTCACCCTGAGCCTCAAAGTAAAGGAAAGAGAGATCCTCTACCTCATTCTAAAATGAAGCAAGGTGGAAATCATTGAAAAGGACAAGAAACTTGAAACAATTACTGTATTACAATTTTAGTAACTCCTTATTTTTAGGTGTGTTTGAATGTCATTCCTGTTTAGTATTATTGAATAATCCATTTGATCAATAATTATAAACATGTTTATCATTTATAAATCAAAATTAATCTTATTGCATATCAAATTAGGTGGTAAAATAAATATTAATTTGCTGCACATTAATTAATCAAATGAAAATTTATGTCATAAACATGTTTATAATTTATAAACACAAGATTAATCTTATTGAATATTAACCATTAAATGGCACCCAGAGGGTGACCCAGCCATGCACGTACGGAATAAACTAGAATATAACTAATTCGTGTTTAGTAAAGTTTATAAATTATAAACATGTTTTAAATTTATAAATACAATATTAATCTAAATAAATAACAACCTAGATGGTAAAATATCCTAGAATATCTAAGCATATTCTAGGTATATCCACTACCACTTTGCAAAAGAGGAAAGTTATAAATTATAAACATGTTTGGAAATTATAAATACAAGATTAATCTTGATGAATATTAGAACTAAATATATTTCACTTTTTCTTAGGCAAAGCTTAAATTATTATTAATACAATATTAATCTATTTAAATATTAAATTTAATTAGTATATCTAATTATTAGAGGATCAGGTTATGAGACTTCTTGGGATGCAGGGGCAAGAGAAGGGGTGGGGGGGAGCTAGGGCTGGTGGAGGATTGGCTTGGGAACAGCACGATGAGCAAAGGCAATCAAGATCTGAGCACAGTGAGGTGTGCCTCTATGCCCATTTAAAACTGGTTTGCTTTAAATATAATTAGATATACTTATTAATATTAATATTTAATTAGATTAATCTTGTATTTATAATAATCTATGGTTTTCTTAAGAAAAAGAGAAACATATTTAGTTCTACCAAATAATTTTTATTCATTTTGATTAATCTTGTATTTTTATAATTTCCAAACATGTTTATAATTTATAACTTTCCTAAACACTTTCTTATTTTTTGTTTGCTTAAGCAAACATGTAGTGGATATACCTAGAATATGCTTATATATTCTTGTTATTTATATAGATTAATATTTTATTATAATTTATAAACATGTTTATAATTTATAAACTTTCCTAAAAATTCTAGTTTATTCTACCATTTAATGGTTAATATTCAATAAGATCAATCTTGTGTTTATAAATTATAAAATTTCATTTGATTAATTGGAACTGTTAAGTAAACCTGCAATGTGCAGTAGTATTTATTTTACCATCTAATTTGATATGCAATAAGAATAATTTTGATTTATAAATGATAAACAAGTTTATAATTATTGCTAAACAGGAATGACATTCAAACACCAATCTGCCACTCACCTAAAAATAAGGAGTTAGGAAATTGTAATACAGTGATTGTTTCAAGTTTCTTGTCTTTTTCAATGATCTCCACCTTGCTTCCTCTTTTTCCTTCAAGAGGGCTATCTCTCTGTCCTTCACTTTGAAGCTATCTGTGTGAATAGCTTTCTTCTCTATAGCTAGAAAAGGTAATGAAGATCAAGCTCATAAAGCCCAGACACTGTTATTAGTGTTTGTAAGTCTTCATTCAAAAGTGGGATTAGGATTGTGACTATGACTTTTATCATCATGGTCCTAAAGCTCATTCTATGTGAATTTAGACAGTATTAAATGTCCAAACTTTTTGAAGGCTTTCCTTCTGGCTTGGGATGTGAAGGTGGTTATGTTATATATGGACTCTTGAGCACTATTTGTAGGCTAATGTTAAGAAATAAGTTACAAGACTCACACATTTTGTCTTTGCAGTGCTCATTTTAGTTTGGTTCTGATTGATTGATCACACCAATGAGTTTTTTTTTAAAAATATTTATTTATCAGTTTATGATGGTAGAAACCAAAATGGAAGTAATTCTTATCACTACTTGCATTCCAGACTTTGCAACCTAAATCTTTTAGAACAAACTTTTAGGCTAGTACATGCAAGAGTAGAAGAGAAATCAGCTCTTCAAACCACTTGAATCTTAGTCTTCCACTAGATTGGGCATTTAAGATTCTCCTGGATATAAGATTGTAAAGAAAAATGTGGAATAAACTGATCTTGACTAGGAACTCTTTGTTCGAATTTTAAAGCATAATAATCTATTGCTCAAAGGACAGATATGAGTTTTTGAACAAAATTTACAAAGAAACATATAAATGCAACCTTTGTGAATTTTTTTAAAGATTTAGTTTCAAACTCATGTTATTGATATGTGCATTTTGATTTAAACATTTCTCTTCAATGCTTTGGGAAGAACTTAGATGCTTCCTAGCAGCAGCTAGTAGCTCATACAGTGCTTTGCCTAATGCATTGTTCGAAAAAATGAAAATACCTCTAATGGACTTTTGTACTGTTGTAAATTCCAATCTAAGCTGTGTTTTTTTTACAAAATCCCATCCCAACAGTGTTTCTCTTTGACACCTTTGTGTGAGCGCATTTGCCACAGCACCAACAATCGTATGCTCCGTGCATGTTAGCTTTCAGGTAAAGTCTAAAGCAGAAGGATGACTATAGACGTGAGAAACCTACTTGATCAAGTGTTCTCTTGCACTGAAGTAGTAAGCTCCTCATTATCACTATAGGAATTTTTTTCAATGATGCTTAACGGGACCTATAATTGAGCATCTATGGTTGGAATAAGTGGATTATGAACTCGACAAGTCATCTATCGCCACAAACGGTGCATGAAGGTCGCTAGAAACCAGTGGCTATTCAATTTTAAAATGGATCTGGGATTTCGTGGATGTTGTTTTGATTCTTTTGATACCAACAAGCGGCAAGCTACTTCACACAAGCAGAAACAACACTGCATCGCCCGCTAGACACCGGTGAGCCAGGAGCTTGGCCATGGAAGATGTTTCTGTCATCTTATTGTGCTTGAGGAAGCGGGCCTTGAACTCATCATCATCAATGGGCGTTGCAGCCAGGCTTGCTGCAACCTGTTTGGTGACATCCCGCGCTTGAGCAGGAAGCCCCGCCCCAATCTCGACATCCTTGCCATGTACCAGCCGCGTCTCCCTGGCTCAAAATCCATTGGCGTCACGTAGTACACCGTCGACCCCGGGTCGCCGAGCATGCCCAAGTAGTTGCTCGCTTCAAGCTGCATCTGGAGGGCGTAGAAGGGGGAGGGAGGCTTGCCCTGCAGCTGCCGCCCAGGTCGAGCGGAACCCATACGAATTGCCTTGCCTATAAACCATGCATGAGCAACAAAAGTTTTCATAAAAAATTAAATCAATAAAAAATAAATAATCAGAATGCTGAAGAGAGGTTCGACAGGAAGCTGTGAATAGCTGAGCCACAGCCGCGCGTCTAACACGGCCATGTAGACGTTCTCCAAGTGTGTAAGGTAAGGGCACACAGTAATAAGAGGAGCAAGCCTTCCGCCGTCACCCAGCTCTAGCATTTACAGTCCCTGTTGTTTCATCTCTTTTTGTCAGTATTTTCATCTGGCTGCGAGGGAAACTTGCGAGGGATTTGGCGATTTGGCGCTTGAATTTGGGAGGGGTTACCTTCATACTGAAAAGTTTTTCTTCCAATAATCTGGAAGAGAAGAGCCACGTCGATCTGATTGGAACTTCATGCGGAATCCAATGTGTGAGCAGCAGCAGCACTTGATGAGAGCTTCCACACTGTTTCCATTTCCACACTGTGAAACTTTGCATAAAAGTGATACGAGGAGATTCTCTGGGTGGCATCGAAGCTCTCACCTTGCCCAGAGCTGGGAGCCATCAAACCAACGGCATTGCTCTTAGCACATCGCACCGCAGGACGTGGAAGAAACTAAGATCCAGCGGCCTCGGCCTCGCCATTAGACGAGCCGATTCGCGAGGACCAATGTGGCCGCCAGGAAGATTTTTGGCTTTATGGGGGTAGCCAAGTTAATCTGAACCGTTCAATTTAAACCTAAGTCCCTTGGAGAAAGATACTCGTGCATCAAATTTTGGTGATCGATCCATAAAATTAACTTTATAATCGTTTTAATACTCTTCATAGAACTCTTCTTCTTGCGGCTGCGCATAGAGTCCTCCCTCGCAATCTTCTTCCAAATGCTCTTCCTCTTCCTCTTCTGCTTCTCCTCCTCCATTTTCCTGCCCATCTTCTTGTCCATGGCATTGATAATCCACTTCTTTCTTCTCGTCTATAACAGCGCTGCTGGGACTGATCGCATTTCCATCTTCTGGGAGTTTTGGAGATGATTTTACGTCCACCAATCCTTGCGGGTTCTCCTGTTCGGATCAAACATTGACGAACTTCATCGAGAAGAAAGCTTTCGCTCGTACCTCTCGGTCAAATAGCTTGTCCAGAACATCGAAGTTAACTCGTGATCCCAGCTTCTACACACACAAACAAGCAAACATAGCCTTAGCTGCGCTTACAGTGCTATCAATCGACATAGCTCTCTCTCACCTTTGCTTCCAGCATCCGACGTGCTGCCTCTGCCGCGGACTCTGCCGGAGGTTTCTTTTCAGCAACTTTTCTCGATTTTCTTGCCTGAACACATGCACTGGCGTGAGAAACAAATAAGAGGTGCTTCGTAGACGTGCACAAACCTTTTTGGAGCTCGCGACGGCAGCGGCAGCAGCAGCGGCAATGTCAGCGGCGGATCCAGTCCCAGACGAAATCGCAGACAGGGCGGCAGATTGTGCAGCTTCGCTTGCAGCTATTGCTGCTTCCTTGGCTTCCAGTTCCTGTGGATTTTAAAATGTCTTGCCAGTTCGGGCAAGAAAAGCGTGAGCTGCCTACCTGAAGGTATTCTTTGTTCATTTCTGTCCAGATGACAGTTTTCAGTCGTACTTCCTCCTCGTTGTTCAAGTACGCATTCATCTGTAGGCAAAGGACATGAACTTAATCAACTATATTAATGATTGCTGAACGTTACTTACCTCCTCGTCGTCGAGATCCGACAAAGCCTCTTCCGCGAGTAAGTGTCCCGTTTCCGGAATTGTGTTTTCTTGAAAATCCTCCAAGACACTTTCCGACATGGCTAGCTGCTTTAACTCGATGTCTTCATCAAGCTACAGATCACATAGTTAAATACATAAGCAAACAAGGGATTCAATACCTTCAAAGCCTTTCCTTTACCACGCACAGGCGATTCTTCAGGGTCTTCTAAGAGAAACTCCTTCAGCTTTCTTTTCTCAGCATCAAAACGTTTCTTTTCGGCTCGTTGAAATGCAGGTGGATTGGACTCTCCTTCCAAACCACCAGATACTTTCATAAACTGAAAAGCCAGATGTTAAAATGGCGAAAACTCAAGTAGAAAAAAAAAAAAAAAAACCTCGTCAAAGCAGCTTCTGCACAGACCATGGGCATGATGTGACGCACCTAGTTCTTTATGTTCGCAAAGAATTTCGGTTAAATGTCCTTTGAAATTCACATGAGGAACAGGCTCCTGAAGTTCCAACTCTTTTGCTTTAGCCTCGAACTCCTCGGGCTACAAGTTTTTACATAACGCGGCTATAAAGTAGTAACAATCTTAAATACATACCGTCAAGCTTCCTGATTCTGTATTCCCAAACTCGACAAGTCTCTTTGTCAGAGTATCGCCACAAACATGGACAACACTCACCTGCATGCAGACATTTGCATCAAGCCACAGTACGAAAGGAAGTGCATTCTTACCACATCGCTCTTACTGCACTCAAAACCGTGAATTTGAGCCGAAACAAATAGTGCCGCACCACAAACTCCACTTGGTTTTCTGCCTGTCTGTAACAGAGGTTATAAACGAATTGAAAATGTAAACGACCTGAATCCAATCCCGCTTCATACTGGCAACAATTCTTAATGCGGTATTCGCAATGGCATGATGTTTCCGTCCGAAGGAGCCATTGCTTAATCCCAACAGTCCTATGCAGAAAGAACTAAGTCAGTCACAAAACAATAGAATAGCTGAAAACTCATATACTATCTGTAAATCTGTGAATAAAGAGACTCGGATCGACAGGCTTTGCCATTATCGGATGTTCTTCTAGCCTTAGCAACCTGCATAGTTGCATGAACACAGCTCCAAGCACGTATCTGTTCAAACTTTCAGATTCTTTTGTCAGAAATGATTAGACTTCAAACGTCCAAACTTACACATTTACTTGAAGCGAGTCTGAAAAATCGATAAGCAAATAAGGTTTATTTTCCTGCCTGAAAAATCAATGAGAACAAAACAAGGAAAAAAATAAATCCAGGGGACGAGAAACGTACCGGCACACTATGTATAAGCAAGCAGCTGCCACTTGTTGAGTACGTCTGCCTTTCGTGAAGCTCTTCTCCACCGCAAGCTGCAGAAAGAAAGACTTAAAAAACAGCTTTGGCAATAAGCATCGTACCACATACAGCCGGTGAGCAGCACCCACTGCATCATCTCTTCCACTGATTGATAGACTGTCCGCAATATCTCCGATTTCATTCCTTCCTGACCAGATAAACCATCAAACAAAGAAGAGCAACACCTACATTACAATCACAAACCTCTCTCCAAAGTTTTCTCGTGCGAGGCAGATTGAAAGCCACTATACCCCGGGTCGGATCCAATGCGTGAATATTGTCCAGATCGGATGATATTTCCCACCAGCTGACTCTACAAGTTCCACAAGAAAAAAGAATCAAGCACGCTACAACGAAGCTTCCCAAACCTGTCCAGCGGATCCCTTGCAAAAAGTAGGCTCGGACGAGTACACATTATCATCAAGAACGCGGCCGCAACCCGTGCAGCACCTGGATCGCCACGATCGCGATAGAAAGAAAGGGGGAAATCCATCAAAACTTACGTGAATCCGTTGATGTCATCCCTGTCCGCGATCTGGTCCTTGGCGCAATAGCTGCACCACACCATGATCTAGCAGAAGGCCAAACGATCGATCGGCGCGTGAGATCGCCGCCAAGAACACCGCCTCCTCCCCCATCTAATGCCACTGACCTAAATATGCCACAGACGCTCTCAAAAAAAGAGAATAGCGTCCATGTCAAAGCACTGTGGCCTTTGCCCGCGCCTCTTTTACCGTCTGGGGGGATCGAACCCTCGACCGTGTGATTAAGAGTCACTTGCTCTGCCAACTGAGCTAAGACGGCACGTCGGCGAAGAAGACCAGGAGATTCCCATCACCGTTAAAGAATATTCTCTCTGTTATATCGGGCGAGGATCGAACCCGCGACCTGGGTAGAGCTGTTTGGGAGCGAGCATGACGAGGCGGAAGAGCGCCGATGGCGCGCCCAGCAAGGTAGGGTTCTTCCTCTCTCACAGGATTCTCGAGCTAGATTGACGAGCGTGCCCTGCTCCAGAATGCCGTGGATCCAATCCAGGTCTTCGCGGAGAGATTGAGGGATCACAAGAGCTTGGAGTCGCGATGGGCCGTCATGCAGGAGAATAGGGTGGAATATTTCCGGGGCAAGGATTTCGTGTCGATGCTCAAGGCCAATCCCGATCTCGTCAAGGATGGCCTCGGCAGCGACGAGGAGGAGGTCGCGAATCTCTTGCTGCGCACCAAGCTCATCTTGCGCTGCGAGCGAGTCGTGAAATCGCTACGGCCGGGCAAGAAGAAGCTCTCCAAGTGGCCGGCTCGTCTCCAACTGTGCCCGGTAAAAGGAAAAAAAACCTTTTGCCATTCCTCAAAATTTACGATTGATCGATCTTCTTCGCAGGACCAAAGTTTCTCACAAAACGATGCGTTTTACGCATGGACTTTTGAGAGGAAGCGGCCGCTATGGCAAACAGTGCTCTCGTTTTTACTACCAGTTTTGACGCTGGCTTGCTGCTTGTTTCCACTCTTTCCTCACTGGTGCAAGCTCGTTGTCATGTACCTGTGCCTCACGCTTTTGGTTTTGATCTTCGGCATACTCATCAGTAAGTCTCTCGTAGAACTTTGTCTTCCAAGTTCTTCCATCTCTCATGGCTCTTCGCATGATATTTCCAGTCAGGTGGATGATCTTTGGTATTTCGTATATCTTACTCGGGAAGAGAGTCTGGTTCTTCCCCAACATTCTCGCCGATGACGCCTCGTTCTCGGAGATCATCAAGTTCTGGCCCGAGCCGCCCAAGGAGGACGAGAAGCCACCCAAGTGGACCTCTCGCCTCGCCTTTACGTGCGTTACCATCGGCGTCGTGTGGTTTTGCGTCAGGCATTCTCCTGACGAGGCAGCGCGAGCCAGGTCCGAAAGTTCTTTGTGTTTGTCACCTTTTCTTGTGCTTGACATCGTTCTTGCAGGTACCAGAAGGGCGTTTCCAATATCATTGACGAAATTCTCGAGTGGTCGCCCAAGCTCGCGCTGTCCGGGAAAGTGGAAGAGGCTGCCCCCGCGAACATCACCGAGGCAACCGAGAGCACCCAGCCAGCGAATGAAAAACCGGATTTTTCGAACGCGACTGAAGGGCAAGACCACGAACAGGAGCAACAGCAGAGATCAGAGCAGGAAATATAAAGAATGTGAGTTCTTACAAATAATTTGGCGACTGGTTACTCGTTTTCAGACTCTTTCTCGCGGCTAAGGCTTTCATATGGCCATGTTTTCCTGTTCTTCCCTTTCTACGTCCGAGGCATCGTCTTCCAGGTGGGCTGCAAGTGTGCTCTTGTTATGAGCCATGAACTTGCTAGCTCCGAAGCCCGGTTGCACGATTTTGGCAATCAGGAGACCGATGGTTATCGACAGAGCAACAACGAGCATATCAAACACAAATGCCATGCCTGAAGCTACGTCCCTTCCAAACATGGCCGCAATGCCTTCCACTCCAAGGCCTCCAGGAACCAAGAGTAGAATACCGGACAGCACCAATGCGAGAGGCAATTCTCCCGTCAGGTGAGAGTACAAAGTTCCTGTGGAAAACGAGCTATCGTCTGGAACTTGAAACTTAAGACAAGAATTACCAGTGATCCCCACTGAGAACGCGGCAAGTACTGTCGATGCACTTGTTCCTAGCTTGTCTGTGGCATATGCAACGACATAGCCGACGGTCGCAGCTAGTCCCATCCCTGGCCATTGGCTCAACCGAGCATTCAGCAGGATATTGGAAGCGACGATATATCCGACTAGCCTGCACGAGTGGAAGAAAAAAAAGCTCAAGCCTCTTTAACGCTTTTAAGAAAAGTACCATAACGTGTTCCACCACTTCGAGATTGATGGAGGAGTACAATGAGCCTTGTCGTGAGCCTTTGACCACCACAAGAAGCTGTCCCCGATTGCCAATCCAAATCCAAGCTGCAAGGCCGAGAAGAGGCCATGAATTACGCGTGAGGTGCCGGTGACGTGAGACTTGGCAACCATCTCGCTCACACCAAGAGTGAGAGGCATCCCTGGAGAAGTAGAAGCCATTACGAGTGATTATCACAAGCAAGTGTTTGATATACCTGGAAGCAATTCCACCAGAGCCGAGAGTGCCAGTGAAGAAACACATATCTTCAGCTTCTTGAGGTAGATTGAAAATACTCTGGCCAGGAACGAGACCAGCACTGCCACAATGAATTCCATGACACTGGCGAAGAGTGGCCAGCGTGATGCAACAATGTCAAGCACGCCGACCAAGAGTCCGAGAACAAAGCTGAAGAGAGCGTCACAGAGGTTTCCTGCCATGCTTAGTGAGAGTCTCTGCGGGTTTACTTTAAGAAGTGCTTACCATTGAAGAAGAGAAGCGAAGCCATTGAAGCAGACAAAGCGTAACTAAAGAGCCGCCACCAAGTTCCAAATTCCTGGGGCGCGGTAGCGATTGCTTTTAGTCTCCAGTAGGACAGGACGAGTGGAGTATCTCGCTTTCCCACGCTAATGGCGAGCTCGTCAGCCCGAGCGAGCTTTCCAACATCGAGTTCACTCTCAACAGTTATGAGATGAATCTCAGACCTGGGAAAGAAGAACGAGCGTTGTCATGGATTTGTCAAGCTACTCAAGGAGAAATTTACTTACGAGAGATCGTCGTCGATATCGTTGAAGGACAGAAGGATGAGCGTTGGAAACACAGCAATGTTGGTATCTACGTGAAGCCTCTCCGCCGCGCGCTCGATCAAATGCTCAGTCCTCGACGCCGAGCTGCCGTAAGTGTGGAGAGCTATGGCAAGGCGGAAGAGGAACCTCCGCCGCAGCTCATGGCTACCGTTCTTGGAAAAATCACGATTCTGCGAGGTATCCACAGGGACTCGGCGATTGAAATACCTAGGGGAAGCCACGAGCGAGCCCTTCCTGCGGAAATTTGGAGATGGCGCTCCTCTTCCTCCTTCCTCGGCCGATGTCGACGCAGCAGCGAATCCACTGGTGGCCTCGATGAGCTTCTCCCGGATCCCTGACAGCCCCAGCATTGGATCGATCTTCGCATTTCCTGGAGATTAGGGCCGCGGCGATCGAGCACCTAGAATCGATCGCTTTCTCTTCTACTGCTCGAGAAAGAAAATATTTGCGCCGGGCGATCGACGAATCGCGCCATGGCAGACGCCACGCCACGTAAATAAGAAGACAGAGGTTAGGGTTTTCGCGCCAGCATACTCTTAAAAAAAAAGTACGTGGCCATGATTCGAACCGCGGTAATGCGATGGAATCTCGATGGGTGGAGCATATCCGATATTCTTTTGTCATATTCTCATGCCCGAAATATAAAGTCTGGGGTTCGATTCCCTTTACTGCCACCACCTCTATTTTTTTGGCCTTCCACAATGGGCTCCATCGCTGGCGAGGAAGAGCTTCAAGGAGCTGGCGATTGCGGTGGATGCTGCGGCATTGGTAGGGTTTACGTCAAGGAGGATGATCCGTCCCAGCCGGCGCAATGGCGGGAATGTAGCCTGGGGTTTTCCGAGATTTGCAAGGCGGAGCTGGTGCCGGATGCTCTCTTCCAGGCCAAGATCGATGGCGCCGGCGCTGGCGCCGCTGTGGACGATGCCAAATGCGCGTGGCTTCGATCGCAGCTCATTGGATCGGGCTACGAGCTCTCCACTCCGTTTGGCAAGCGGGATCTATTCTACGCCGATTACACCGCCTCCGGCCGATGCTTGTTCCACATCGAAAGCTTCATCACGCAGAATATCATGCCTTTCTACGGTGCGTTCTTCCTTGCTCCTACCAATTCCTTCGATCTGCTCGAAATATTTTGGTTCTGGTTCTTACTTTTACCTATCGATTCCCAGGGAACACTCACGCCGAGGATAGCTTCGTGGGAGACACCACTTCCTTCCTGGTGAACGAATCCACTCGCTACCTCAAACATTCGCTTGGAGCTACCGCCGACGATGCGCTCCTCTTTTGTGGCTCCGGATGCACTGCTGCTGTGAAGCGCCTCCAGGAGGTCATGGGCCTCGCAGTGCCTTCCATTCTCCGGGACCGAGTTGTCAAGACACTCAAGGACGAAGAGCGCTGGGTGGTGTTCATTGGCCCGTTTGAGCACCACTCTAATCTCTTGTCCTGGCGCCAGAGTCTTGCGGAGGTGAGTCAGATCGATCGATATCTTGTCTCATGAAGTTTCGGCTCTACTGTAGGTGGTGGAAGTTCCCACGAACAAGCAAGGACTACTCGACGTGGAGTTTCTCGATAAGGCACTCGCGGATCCAAAGTTTGCGGGGCGTCCCAAGCTCGGCTCCTTCTCAGCATGTAGCAACGTTACTGGAATTCTCGCGGATACACGAGCAATCGCTAGGCAGCTCCACCGCCACGGTGCGCTTGCTTGCTTCGATTTCGCTAGCTGGTAAACATTTTCTCTTTTTTGTTCGTTTGGATAAGGCCAAGCCCTGGCATTGATTCTCACTCCCTCTTGCGCTTTCGATCAGTGGTCCTTACGTCCGCATCGAAATGCGCGCTGGAGAGCTCGATGGCTACGACGCGATTGCTTTGAGCCCCCACAAGTTCGTCGGAGGACCTGGAACACCTGGGCTGCTGCTGATCAACAAGAATCTCTACTTGCTGCGTGACAAAGCACCATCCACGCCTGGGGGTGGCGCAGTCGACTTCGTCAATGGCTACACGGAAGAAGTGAGCTCAAATCTGTGGTCCATAGCTGAAACGAAGAAAACGTGACTGATACCATTTTGGCAGGATACTTTATACCTGAGGGACATCGAGGCACGAGAGGACGCCGGAACGCCACCGATTCTCCAGAAGATCAAGGCTGCTTTAGCGTTTTGGATCAAAGAGGAGATGGGATACGAGCTCATCGAGTCCAGAGAGCAGTACTTCATCACCACCGCGCTGAAGCGACTGTCAGCCAACCCGAACGTGATGCTGCTGGGAAACACGGAGGCGAAGCGTGCTGCTATTCTCTCGTTTCTTGTCTACGCGACGGAACCGGGTGACCAAGTTTTGGAGAAACGAAAGATCCTGCAAGGCCGGTTCATTGTCAAACTCTTGGACGACTTGTTCGGCATCCAGTCGAGAGGTGGCTGTTCCTGTGCCGGGCCTTACGGCCATGCTCTTCTCAATGTCGACCACAACGTCTCCATAAAGCTCCGCGATGCAATCCAGAGAGTAAGTTTCCAATCCATCTAGACCATCTTCTAGCTCATTCTGTTGTTCCTTCGTGTCCAGGGATATGGTGGAGTTCGACTTGGATGGGCTCGCTTGAACTTTGCGTACTTCATGTCGATCGAAGAGTTCGAGTTCGTGCTGTCCGCTATCGAGTTTGTTGCCGAGTACGGCCAGCGTTTCATTCCGCTCTACGAGTTCAACTGGAGATCCGGAGCCTGGACGTTCATGCCCGAGTTTAAATCCAAGTACGCGGCACTAGCCGAGGAGGAGAAGCTTGAGGACGAGTTGCCGGAAGTGAAGCACAAGACGTATCTGGAAACGGCGATATCAATTGCGAAACTCCTGCCGGAACATCCTCAAGAGCGAGACGTCCCCAAATACATCGATCCGGTGCTAGTCGATTTTAGAGTTTGATGAGAAGTAGCATTCGACAGTGGCTGGAAATGATACTGATAAAGCAAAAATAATAAACGTTTGTGTCAATGTCTTATTGACTATGCAATGGACCTTGGAATCAATCTAATGGGAAACATCCGTACCTGAGAAGCAAAAAGATTCTTTCCGGAATTTACAATGGCCCGCCTCGTTGGTGCTCCTAAGCAGGAATGGCAGCGACATTTTCTGTGGATGCTGGTGCTTGTTCCACTTGCGTGTTATTAACATATTGATCGAGGCCATTGATACGGGTGATCCTTATCCGCGTGAGCATCTGGAACGCAGAATCACATAAAATCGTTAACATAGGACACGCCAAAGATCGCTAATAGTAAAACAAAGATTATACTTGGCGATGGCCCTTGGTCCTACGATAGTTCTTCCTTCGTTTCTTCTTGAACACGATGACTTTGGCATCTAGAGCCTGAACAAAGTCACTAGTGAGCAAAAAATAGATTATTTTGAGGAGCAACTTACATGCTCCTCCACAATCGCAGAAATGGTAGCTTCAGGCACAAATGGCCTTCCAACAACAGTTTCTGTTTTCGTCCCCAGTAGCATCACCTTGTGGAGCGATAACTATCCAAGAACACGAAAAGAAATCAAAAGCTTCGTTACAAAACATAAAACTACCAAAGAAAAGTTTCACCTTGTCATTCACATTTGCGCATTTCAGCCTCTCGATGTAAAGAACGTCGCCTGGAGTCACTTTAAACTGCTTCGCTCCAATCTACGTAGACAGGAAAAAAAAAAAAGGCTTAAGATTTTGCGTAGAACACATTGAGCAATCAAAGCACCTGGAAGACTGCAAATGCGTCCTGCCGTGGGATAGCCAGAGGCTTGTCCACTACCAGGCGTCCAACGACGGTATAGCCCAAAGCCTTCATAATCTCATCGGAGTTCCTCTTTCGATCGACACCGCCAAAGGACATCACACGGACATCCCTCGGCTCCACCCCGGGCTTGAGATCCAGCTCCATTCCCAGGCTCTGGCTCTCGCGCCATAGAGAATGCAGCTTCCTCAGACCTAATCCAAACCTCTGCGGCGCCTCTGGACGATCGAACAAGGCGCCAGAGGAGCGGATCATCGCGATCGAGAGCCGCCTCCATGTCCCCATTCTCGCGCTTAAACCCTACTTCTCCAAGCAAATATTTGGCTACCCTAAAATTCCCCAAGAGCCCTAGAAAACGAGGGTGTGGTGATTTTGGTCCCTCTCGGCAAGGGATCGCGGCGGCGCCATCATGTAAGCCTCTCTCTTCCGGCTCACATTCCGTGTGATCTCGCCGTGGCTGCTAGGTCGGACGATGCGGAGGAGCTCCAGGATCCCAAGCTTGAACTGGAGGAGATGTGCCGGCCGCGATGCGTTAAGCAATTTCTTGCCTACCAGGTAGAGCCCAAGCTTCGATTTCTTGCTCTGGAAACGCTCGGCGATGGATGAAACAGGCGTGTTGCAAGCGAATCGAGGACGATGACACTGGATCGAAGCATTGCACGGGGCAGTACCTGGATTTCTGGCACTGCATCGACAAATGCGTGAGTTTTGCTCGATCAAGATCCCTTCTTTTCGCTGTTCTTGAGCTTCTTGCTTTTTGCCCTCTCTTGGCAGGTATCGAGGCGGCTTTTTGATCGATTAAAATGAGTAGATAGAAGAAGAAGAACAAGGTCGTGATCGTGTGCCATGCTCCCAGATCTATCGAATAAAAGGTCACGAATAAGCCACATTCCTGTGCTATCTTTAATGAGGACGAAGAGTTCCGTTGCTAGCTTAGAGGGGAAAAAGTCTTCGCTTGCGCCAGGAGCTAGGGTTCTATAGGTTCTTGGTGGCTCGATCGATCGATCGGCCAGCGCATCGCGAAATTTCGCATCGCAATGCTAAATGCGAGCTCCAGGAGGCAGTGATTGGCAGTGGCGCCGAGAGATTATGGGATGTTTGGCGGTGGCGTTCTTGTTGTGCTCGATCCTGGCGCTCGCGGCGGCGGATCCAGCTCCTGGCAGGAGGATTCACACGCTCTTCTCGGTGGAATGCAATAACTACTTCGATTGGCAGACCGTCGGGCTCATGCACAGCTTCCGGATCAGCGGCCATGTCGGGCCGATCACGCGGCTTCTCAGCTGCACGGACGAGCAGCTCCGGAGCTATGGTGGCATGGATTTGGCTCCCACGCATGTTGTTCCTTCGATGAGTAAGCATCCCGTCACTGGAGACTGGTAAGAAATTTCTCGTATCTATCTACATTTGTTCTAAGATGTGTTCTTCGTTCTAGGTATCCTGCGATTAACAAGCCGGCTGGAGTTGTCCATTGGCTCAACCACAGTGAGGATGCCAAGAAAGTAGACTGGGTGGTGATCTTGGACGCTGACATGATCATTAGAAAGCCTTTGCTTCCATGGGATCTAGGCGCAGAGAAAGGAAAGCCAGTCTCTGCATCTTACGGGTAAGTTTTCGCGACGTTCTTCAATCCGAGACAAGAGAAGTTCTTGATATTGTGATGTTTTTTCGTAGATATCTCATTGGATGCGATAACATCCTTGCGCAATTACACACCGCTCACCCAGAGTTTTGTGACAAGGTTGGTGGTTTGATAGCTATGCATATTGACGACCTTAGAGCTATGGCACCTCTCTGGCTTTCCAAAACGGAGGAGGTGAGACAAGATAAAGAACATTGGGCCACCAACATAACAGGGGACATTTACAGCTCGGGATGGATCAGTGAGATGTATGGTTACTCGTTTGGAGCTGCCGAGGTTTGTAATTAAGTTTCTGGGACAGACATTACAATCTTTTCATTTTTGTCACACAGGTAGGATTGCGTCACAAGATTAACGATGATGTGATGCTGTATCCCGGCTACACTCCCAGAGCTGGTGTGGAACCTTCTCTGCTTCACTACGGACTCGGTTTTAAAGTAGGAAACTGGTCCTTTGGCAAAGCAAGTCACAGGGATGATAATATTGTCTACGATTGTAATCGTCTTTTCCCTGCTCCCCCACATCCGGACATGGTACGAACAATGTTATTCTGATTTCTGTGCTGTTCTCGATTAAGTTTCTTGTTTCCTGTTGTGCAGGTGAGAGGAATGAACGCAAACGAAGATGAAGCTCGAGGTTTTCTCTTAAGCGTTGAATGCATCAACACAATTAACGCGGGTCTTGTTCTTCATCACGAAAAGCGGGCCTGCCCGAAGCCCAAGTCAGATTATGTGAGCTTCTTGAACTACCTCTTGAAACCTTCAGCACACAGTAAGAAGGCTTCGGAAACAGTGAATGCCGAGCAGCAAGAACCTCGGCCATATCCGAAAATCCATACCTTATTCTCTGCTGAATGCTCTGCCTATTTTGACTGGCAAACGGTTGGTCTCGTCCATAGCTTCAAGCTCAGTGGTCAACCTGGATATATCACACGGTTACTTAGCTGCAGTGAGAAGGACTTGAAAAGTTACAAAGGAATGGATCTCGCTCCGACGCATCTGGTACCATCGATGAGTGTGCACCCTCTCACCGGAGACTGGTACGTCTTTCCCGATGTCTTGTTTTGCCTTTCTTTGGTGTCTCAATACGTCTTTGCAGGTATCCAGCCATCAACAAGCCCGCTGCAGTGTTACATTGGCTACATCACGTTGTAACCGATGTGGATTTTCTCGTTATTTTAGACGCGGACATGATCATGCGAGGACCAATAACGCCATGGGAGTTCAATGCAGAGCGAGGACACCCAGTTTCAGCTCCATACAAGTAAGAAAATCATCTGCTACCTCAAGTCGTGTTTGTTCTGATTGTGTGCTTGCTGCAGCTATCTGATCGGCTGTGACAATGAGCTTGCCCAGCTTCACACTCGACACCCGGAAGCCTGTGACAAAGTTGGAGGAGTTATTATCATGCACATCGAGGACGTCCGAGCTTTAGCACCACTTTGGCTTTTCAAGACTGAGGAAGTTCGAGCTGACAAAGCACACTGGGCGACCAACATCACAGGAGATCAATACGCACACGGCTGGATCAGTGAAATGTACGGATACTCTTTCGGTGCTGCAGAGGTAACAAAGAAAGTACCATACTATACTTTGGTCTTCAACTTTTCTTTTTCTTCGCTCTCACAGATTGAGCTAAGGCACAGGATTCGTGACGACATCATGCTGTATCCCGGCTATGTACCTCAAGAAGGAAGTGAGCCGAGGGTGTTGCATTACGGTCTCGAGTTCTCAGTAGGTGACTGGAAGTTCGACAAGGCAGACTGGCGAAACGAGAACATGACGAGCAAATGCTGGAGGAAATTCCCAGAGCCCCCAGATCCGTCCACTCTCACGACTTCGGACAGAGGCGAGCGCCGCCGGGACGAAATAAGCATCGAGTGCATCAGCACAATCAACCAGGCACTCGACATCCATCACAGGAAGCACGGTTGTGTTGCTGCTGCTACGACTACCACTACTACCACTACTACCACTGCTGCGAACTCCAGCATAGCATTCGGAAGCCGCGGAGAAGCAAAGCAAGGCTCTGAGGAAGCAGTGGTGGTGGAAAAGTCGGTTGACAGGGAGGCACTCAACAGTTTCATGGCATCCAATCGACGACGCAGTGTTTTGGAGAGATTCAAGCGGCTACCAGTGATAAGTCTCAGCCCGAGGTACTGGATGATCGCGCTGTGGACGCTCCTGGTAAGCTGCTTCCTGCTGGTTATCTCAGCAATTTATTCCAGGCAGCGCAATCACCATGAAAATGGTGGGACGAAGAAGATCTCAAGAAGGAGAAACAAGCTCCTGGCGGAGGAAGAATCAAATGGTTCTTCACAGTTGCTAGATCAGCCATAGCTTAGCAATTTTTGTTATGTGGAGTTGAAAATAAACCGTTGGATCGCGTGAAATGCGGCGAGCCCTTCGATCTTTTTCTAAGGTTTAAGTTAGGGTACAGTCATTTTATTTTGCTCCTCTCGATGGGAGGAGCTGTGGCGGAGCGCCGCTTGAGGCCGCTATGGGACGCCATCGAATCGCGGCAGTACAAATCGGCGCTCAAGCTCGCATCGGCGCTGCAGAGCAAGCATCCCGACGCACCATACGTTGTGGTGAGTGATTTGTGGCATTGTGATGTGCGTTGTGTGGAAGAATGCGTCAAATTGTTGCATTGTGTCTTGGCACAGGTTCTCAAGGCTTTGGTTCTGGAAAGATTGGGCAAGCCCGACGAAGCTCTTGCCTTGTGTCGACAAGCCAAAGATATGCAGCCAGTCGATGACATGACTCTCAAGGCGTTGCAGCTTGTGTACCATCGACTGGGTTTATGTAAGTTTCTTCCTTTCGAGGTTAACTTAATATCCTGCCTGTTTTGCAAGTGGAAGAATCTACGCTTGCTTACGAGAATGCTTGCTCCAAAGATCCCGGAAACATGGAGCTCTTGATCAGCTTTTTCAACTGTCATGTTCGCCAATGCAATTACGTGAAGCAGCAACAGGTATGTAAGGTTTTGTGTTTTTCGTGACGTCTATCGGACGAGCTTTTCTGACAGGTAGCTATGAAAATATACAAACACACCGGAGAGGAGAAGTATCTGTTCTGGGCGGTTTGCAGCATTTACCTGCAGGTATTGGCTTCGTATTTTTCTTGCCAGTTTGATTTTTCCTCAGGCACTTCAATGTAGGTTAGGCCCGGAAATGCAGCGGAAAAGCAATTACTGGCACTGGCCGAGGCATTACTGAAGAAAAGAATAGACGCAAACGGACTTCATGACTTGGAGGGTACTTCGTTCTTTTGTTTTGTTTCCTGCTACTAATGGCTGGTGTTATTCACCTGAAAGGTCTTCGTCTTTACATATCTCTATATCTAGCCCAAAACAGAATTGAAGACGCTCTGGCTCTTGTGAAAGGCGAAACGGGTGCGTTATTTAACATTCCAATAGAACGCTTAAAACTCCAGGTGATAATGAACAAGGCAGGCATGTAGTGGTTTGACATCTTTTTCTATCAGGGTGAGCTCCTGATGCAAATGCATAAATACTCCGATGCGGTTGAGACTTACAGGGAGATCTTAAGCATAAGGTTGGTAGTCTCGATCATTTGTAATTTACTCGTGTTTCTTGGCAGCTCAGATGACTGGACCGCTATCATGCAATTTATCAATGCGTCCTTGGAGCTAACTGGAGATTGCTCTACCGTGGACAAAGTTGCTTTGCAACTATCGTCTTTGAGTCTTTCAGCTAATGAGGTTCGATATTCCAACCAAGGATACTTCACAAACTCCATCTGTTTCTGGCAGACGCTTGAGCGGCTTGGGAAAGTAACTGATTTTGTTAGCAGTCTTCAACGTTTGGAAACAACCGAATTAAGGAGAGGTCCATTTCTTGCAATGGTGGAAATCGAGTTCAGAAGGCTACTGTATGGTTCCGAAGGTTCAAATGCTACAATGGCGTTGGCTGCAAGCATTTTAAATTATTTTCAACGGTGAGTGTTTTTGAAGTTATGAAGGAGGTCTCCTCTTACTCCTCTCGCAGTTTCGGACACCTGGCAGGTTTCTTCTCCGATGTGAAACCTTATCTGTTAGTCTTGGATCCCCGCTCTCAGGAGTGGCTTGTCAATCAGTTGGCTGAAGATCTTGCAGCTTTAGCAGACACGGCCGGACCTATTCAACTCCTTAGGAAAGAGATTTCAGCATGTCAAGTTCAAGAATATACAGGACACTTAGGAGGTGAGCTAGAATTTGTGTTAGATACTTTTAAAGTTTTACTACAGGTGATCATTTGGAAGTTGTAAGGAGACTGGTGAGATTGTATAAGGACAACTTGAAGTATTCCGTGAATTTGGACCCTGAAGAAAACATACTTGGCGAGGAGTTTCTCGTTATGGCTGCTAGTCTGTTGGTCAAGGTAATGCATTTTGTCCTTCTAAAACTCAAGATCAAATGTTTGCATTGGCTTAGCTGTTTCTTCAAACGAGGCAATCTACCTATTTCCTTGAAGCGGCCGCTGTACTTGAATTTGGTCTGCACTTAAGGAGGTATCTAACATTATGAAGGTGCATTATGTTCAAACTTTATATTCTTTTCGCACAGGTTCAACTCTCATTTCAAGGTTATGCTTGTTAGTCTGTATTCGAGCATCTTTGCGACTTCTCTTGCAGTTGAATGGTGAGTTGGTTTTTTTCAAGATCATTGTTTTCAGAAGTGTTTCGCTATCAAGGTTCCGGACTTTGGATGTGAAGAACATTCTTTTGGAGTCTGCTTCGCATCATATATTACCGCTATTACTTGCAGCGCCACATTCGTCTGCGTTGCTGAATGATACTGTCAAGTTTCATGACGATTCCCAGCATGAAGTGGCAGAAATGACCATCATGACATATAGACATGGCAATTACTCAAAGGTTTGTGTTTCTTCGCTATTCACAGCACTAAGCTGTCAACTTGCAGATCGTGGAATTTCTGGAGCTGAAGGAGCGACTTGAAAACTCTCATCACTATTTACTTGTACGAGTTGAGCTGTCAATTTTTTCTCTGAAGGACAAAGTTGAAGAACTTGATGCGCTAGAAGTATGTATTTTGTTGCATTCTATTTTCTCTTAGGACTACTTTACAGGCTACTCTCGCGAAATTGGAGAATGGTAATGATCTACTGAAATGGTCTTCGGAAAATCGTCTTGCAACACTGTCGTTCAATGAGGATTGTGAAAGTCGTCCCTGGTGGTCACCGGTTCCAGATCAAAATTTTTTGGCAAGAAGTTCTCCCTGTTCGACGCAAGAAATTGCCGCCATCTTTCCAAGCTCAAAGGCGAAGGTAACCGAATGAGTATAAGTATTTTATTCTCTCATATGGATCTTCTAGCAGGCACAAGTGACAGCAACTGATCATGAAAGATGGCGAGCATCCGTAAAACGAAGAAGCTTAGTACCACGGCTTTTGTATCTATCCCTGAACGCGTTGTCGTTTGAGAAAGATCGCGATGAGAGGCGCGAAGAGCTGCGACAACACCTCGAGTACTATCTGAAGAGTTTGGACAGAAATTGGAGCACGATAGATGACTTCATCTCGGAATGCAAGGTAGTGAGCGACCATCCAGTTTATAAGTTGAAGATACCAAGGCATCTCATCCTCCTTCCGCAGGACGAGAAGCTGAACCTTGACGTGGATGCTCAACTCTCCATCTTGCTCTTCGTGCTAGGCTGGGAATTGGCCTCATGGTCGTCGTCATCAGAAGATAGAATCGTTCACTTGATGGCTCTCGTCGGCAAAACCTTGACAACAGGTGCTACCAATCTACTGCAGTCGTGTGACGACACACTGGGTTTCGGAACAGGCATGCCGGCATTGGTGAAGGTGATCACGGAACCGGTTTCCTGGCTTGCACTGTCGGCACAGGCATGGACGAAAAAACTCCAGCCATCCTCCAAGAAGAAGAGAAGAGGACAAAGCGAGACAAGCGAAGATACAAGGAACCCATCCAGGATCATAGATGGTCTCCGGGGGCTCGTCGCCAGCACCACTTCAGCGATTGAAAGGGTGGTCTTGTGGCTGACAAAACGATCTGGAAGCCGAGAAGAGGACGAGGTGGAGGCGCTGCTATTGCTGCTTAGAAGTGGGAGCGGCAGTGGAGTGGTGGAGCTGCTCGAGGGATCGTCTCCATTTGCGGCGTGGAAGGCCGAGGATTTGGCTGCGAGGATTGTGGCGAGCCAGCGTGAAGAAGTATCAAGGCTGGGAGAAGTTTGCAAATCTAGGCTCAAAATTTTGGTGAAGCCCAAGTTTTAAGTGACCATTAGAAAAACTGCCTAAAATTTATTTAAAATGATTCAAGTGTAAGATAGCTTTCTAGACTATCCAAACTAAATCGAACCCGGGTCGTCCGCGTGACAGGCGGAAATACTTACCAGTATACTACAAAGTTTAAACCATAAACCCTAGGGCTTTAATCGAAAAGGGGAATGGGGTCAGAGAGCACGAGGAAGAAGGCGATGTTAATGCCTCGAGGAAGAGCACGGTGGCTCACATTTGTCGACCAAAGGCTGCAGGTACCTGGCGCTCCATTTTCTTTCTCCATGAGTGATCTTAGAGCTCGGCCTTGTTTTGGGTCTTGTCTTGGCAATCAAAATGCTAGCAGGCAATGGACGGAAGAATCGTCCCTTTGGAGACGCTAGATCCTTCGTCGTTTGCTGTTTCTTGGTGGAAGCGATACGAGGTAAGATCTTTCCAAGTCTCGAGCGAGCGAGCAACACCTCCGTGTGTGTGTTTTCTAGCGGCGTGTCCATTCAATCTCACCGCGCTCGACTTTACTCGAGTCGCCTCCGCTTGTAGCGATCGATCCGAGAACTTTGCAAGGATCCCAAGTTGCTGCAAGAGAATTGACGCTCTGGTCGGGATCGCCGCTGCACAGCACGCAAACTCGAGCGGAGATCTCTGCCTGTCCAAGCCGGCGGCGAGCCTGTGCTTGAGCTCGCTGGTGGCAGCGCTGGATTCCAATGGCGTGCATCCACAGGCCTCGCGAGCTTGCGGAGTTCCAATGAGTCTGAGAGGCCAGTGCCAGTGCAAAGCCGCGGCGCGCGTTCGCGACATTGTTGGAGCTCCCGGATTTGAAGGGGTGGTGGCGAGTTGCGAGTCTTTTGGCGGTGGAGAGATGAATAGCTCTCGGTGTTCCAGATGTTCCGCCGCTGCTACGAGGCTCGCCGCCTCCATCGCCGCTCCAAATCCGCCCAGAAGTTGTCAAGAGGCCGTGTTTGTGGCGCTGGCGAGCTTCGAGGATTTTAAGTCGGCCATGCACAAGGCTTCGTGCTTGTTCCAGCTCCAGCCTCCAAAAAAACTCACTGGTAAGTTTCTTTCTCCTAGAAGTTGATGGATCATTTTTTTCTTGTTTCGAAGGTCCTAATCCAGAGTTCACAAGTTCATCTTTTTCTTTCCAAGTTCTGGCTCAAGTTCTTGTACTAATAACCTCTTGTTACTTCTCTTGCAGAGTGTCCACTCAAGCTCACGCCTTGGCAGCTCCAAAACGTAGCAAACGTTTGTAGCAGCAGCGAAAGTCCAGAATCCTCCTGCTGCTCGGTTTCACTCCTTTTCCTCCGGATCGCGGCCTCGAAACTGGGTAAAACTTCTGGCGATTTCGCCATCCCCCAGAGGCTGGCAAGAGCTTGCATCGACGATCTCGGCCCCCGGATAGCCTCGTCCAGGCAGAGAGTTTGCTCCATCTCCTCGGACAGCATCGCAAACTCGGCGAGGAGGGGGTGTAACAACATCGTGAGCTTGCGCGAGCTCGAGCACAGGCTTACGGAGCGAGACTTTTCCGTCTCGCGTGTTACGGAGACCTGTGATCGCTCTTCGTGCCTCGAGTGCCGACGAGCAGCCTTGGATGCCGCGTATGCTGCTGCCTGGCCTTATGTCGACGCCACCACCTTGCAGCACTGCATGGACTTGACGTTTCTCATGCTGGCCAGCAACGCATCCGCGATCAGAGCAACGCAAATCGGTGGCTGCTTGTACGCTCTGCCTGGTGAGTCTAATCGAGCGAGAAAGATCTTTGAAAAAAATCCTTTTTTTCCTCGTTCTTTTGTTTTTTTGTTCGTCATTCTAACGCTGTGAAGTTTGTTTCTGTCTTCCTTGACAGTGTTTACTCCGGAAGACGATGTTGCTGTGACCGCTGTGTCTTCTTCTTCTCCTCCTCCTGCATTGCCTCCAGCTCGTCCAGAAGACGATGTCTCGATGTCGTTGCTCCCAGATCCAATCAACAAGTTGGCACATCAATCTCCATCGCCGGTCACGATCGTGTTGGCGATTGGGATTGGGATCACGGGTGCTACAGTGGCAATTCTCTTGGTGTTGGTGCTCCTGCTGCAACGTAAGAGAGAGGAGAGCGTGCCTCTGTGGAACAAAGATAGCGCTCTCGACGTCTGGCAAGGATCAGGTAACAAGAGTTGGAAAAATCTCTTCCTCTCTTTTTTGTTTTTGCTCCGGTCGAAACTTTGTCTCTTTTATGGCTACAAACAAATATGTCCTTGCTTGCTGCAGAGGCTCTCCGCGCGCTGCGAAGGTTTAAGTACTCGGAGATAGAAAAGGCGACAAACCATTTCCATAGTTTAATCGGCCAGGGGCGCGGTGCTGCCAGCGCTGTCTACCGAGCAAAGTTTAAAGATGGCCTGGTCGCCGCAGTGAAGAGATTCCATGCGGCACCTCAGCCGCAGAGCGAGGAGGAGTTTAAAAACGAGGCACATTTTCTGGGCCGACTCCACCACCGCCATCTCGTCAGCCTTCGAGGATTCTGCATGAGAAAGAACGAAAGGTTTGGTTTTTTCTTGGTGTTGTCTTACGTTACGTTGTTTACTTCTCCTTAATGCAGGTTTCTCGTCTACGACTTCATGGAGAATGGTAGCCTCAAGGAGCGTTTGCATTTGCACCACCGTGGTACCTCAACTCAAAAAAAAAAAAATCTCTTTGCAAAAAACGAGAACTTTTGTTTTGCAGGGAGAAGCAATGGCACGCTTTCATGGCAGAGACGGCTTCAGATCGCCATCGAAGTTGCAACTGGGATGGTAAGTTGTCAAAGTTTGTTAGTTTTAGACTTCTGGAATAAGAAGAGGTTTTTCTTTCCCTGTGGAGTATAAACTCATCACTGCTGCGTGGGCTCTATCGCTAGGAATATGTACACTGCTACTGCGAGCCTCCACTGTGCCACGGGAATCTCAAGTCGAGCAACATATTGCTGGACGAGAACTTCGTGGCCAAGGTAAGCAAAGACGGTGACACTGTGTTTTTGTTTTTGGTCTTCTTCATATCTACGTCATCTTCACGGCCTGTTCCTTGTTTGTTTGTCCAGGTCGGGGACTTTCGTCTTCCAGCGGCTGCCCCTTTTGGTTGTACGCCAGGTCTGTCGAGTCTATCCTTTTCTGTTTCTTTTTTCGCTCGCTTTTCTTCTTTGTTTCCTTGTGTGTTCTTCGTAGTACTACTCTTGCGAAGCTTAAAAATGTGATTTTTGGTTGAGCAGACAGTGGCTACGTTGATCCCGAGTTCTCCCACACGGGCGTTCTCACGGAGAAGAGCGACGTTTACAGCTTTGGCGTTCTCCTCCTGGAGCTCGTCTCGTCCAGGCCCGTCACCACCGCCGGCGACAAGCACATCCTCGACTGGGCTCACGAGTTTTACAACTTCTCCGACGCTCGCCTGGTGGAGATGGTGGACTCCACTCTGCGGGACCAGATCGATCCCGACGAGCTCAAGAAGATCATCACAGTGTCGAGGCTTTGCTCGCAGAGCGAGGCAGCATCTAGGCCCAGCATGAAACAAGTCGTCAATCTCCTCCTGGACAACGCCATCGCGATCTTCCCGCCGCTATCCTTCTCCGCGACGATCAAAGATGACGATGGCGATGGCGATGGCGATGGAAAGCAGCACAGGAGAGTAAATTCGGACGATTCGCTCTCGATCCACTCGGCCACGGGGATTCCATCGTTTAGCACCGCGACCAGCAATGCCAAAAACCTCTTCCTCTTCTCCACAAGTCCTCACGCACCGTCCTTCTCGTCATACTCCACGTACTCGCCCAGCTATTCGTTAAGATTCTCATAACTATAACACCAAAACTAAAAGGGGGGGTTTAAAAGTAAAAAGGATTCCAGGATATTCTCATGCGGGGATATTCCTATCTGGCAGTATAACGACGTCTGGGTATATTCAAATAGCATGGCGATAGGCCACTGACCAGAGATGCCGTCCACGTGGTTGAATCGGGGATATTCTTACGTATTAAAACGAAAAAGCGTTGTGCTGACATTGACGCATGGGCTTGAGCGTCCCAGCTGGCAGACACGTTGCCCTAAGTCGATGACGTGGAATTAGATGAAGTGGGGGACGTGGCATTTTTGTTTTGCATTTTTTAGGGAGCCAGGCATCCTGCCAAAGAGGGAGAGAGTGTAGCAGTCGCCGCTCGCTCGCTCGCTCGCTCGCGCTCGCCCTATTTCTCCCCGCGAATCTCCAATCCTCTCTTCTCGCAGCCCCAGCGCCAGCGCCATCGCGGTGATGCGATGCGATTCTTCTTGTGCTTGAGCGCTCCACGCTGCTTGCCAAGGCGATTGACAGGAGAATCTCGTGTTCTTGCCCACCTAATCAATGGGATTCCTCGCTGATCCAGTGCCGGGGCTGGGATTGGACGAGTAGGGTAGAAAAGCGGCGAGCAGTGGCGAAATTTCTTGGCATTGGAGGAGGTTACTGTGGCATGCGGATCAGGCGAGCGGCGGGAGCAGCAGGAGCAGCGGAATTTCTTGCGGCGATTGGTGGCGCGGATCGTCATGGCGAGGTTCATACCGACATCGATTAGTTCGCTGCTGCTACTGCATTTCAAATCGCCATGTGAGTGTTTCCAACCCTCTCTTCTTTGGTAGCTGCCAGATTGAGGAGCATGCAGCGGCTCACCGAAAATTTCCTCCTCCATAGTCACCGCCAGCATCATCCATGCTTCTCTTCTTATGCCGCCACTTCTTCGTTGCCAGATTCTTCACGCCCCTTAGATTTGTGGATAGATTGCAATCTCTGGATGCAGCAGCCCGGATCATGGATCACACCTTGGCCGTTTCTTAGGCATCGAATGAGCAAGCATGTCGATTGGTTGGTAACACTTCCGCTCTAGCATTTCAATCAACTCACACACATCTCACATATTTATCTATCACTACTTCTACTACTCACACAATTTTGCAAGCTTTGATTCTTTGATTTTTCTTTCTCCCACACACTTGGATAGAGGACTAATCTTTTCCTTGGCTTTGTTTTTTTCTTGGCAGTTCCTCAGCAGCATCTGGAAGCATCGTGCAGTTCATGCTTTAGCAATTGTCATCACG